TGTGTGTGTGTGTTCATGTGTGTACATGCGTTCGGCGGACTCACTCCCGGGGGCTGGGCTGGTATTGGCTGTTGCGGTGGAGAGAGCTACGTGAGAGGGGGTAGAGATAGTGTTTACGTCGTGGAGCTGACTGAGCACGGAGGAGCGCCGTCTCACCGCTCCCTGAAACGAACCGCTTCGCTTGAACGTGCTCACTACCTCCATCTGCAGGACAGAGACAAAACAGCAGCACTCAGTGAGGGCAGGAGAGGCCGGTCTGAGTGTGTGCGGAGTGTGCATGTGGGCGTGTGTGTGTTGTTGTCCCTTTCAAACACTTCTTGTCCCAGCAGAAACAGCATTTAAATCCCCTTTCATGGCAAATGTGCATCAAGCCTGCTTTCTGAATGTTACTGACAAACAAGAATTATGAATGATGACTGCATGTGTGTGTGAGGTTGTATGTTGTGTGTATTTGTTGTGTGCACACTCAGACCAAGCCCTCTTAATGAAAAACTGACCACTTTACGCAAAGACAGGCACTTAAGCAGAGAGTCTGGACTGGGAATTAACACTGTTTAGGAGGCTGTTGTTCATGTTGATGCCGTCTTAACGTCAATTCTCACTCAATCGATCAGTTAAAGTAATCAAGCAAGCCTGTCTACTTAGCGCTGGCCTGTACACAATGTGTAAACAATTGCACACACAAGTGCCGCCGCACCGACACACACGCTCAATCACAGCATTTATCCTCTCTCATGATGTGAACATCTAAAATACCACTTCCGAGTCAGAGAGAGCATTAGAGAAGAAAAGCTAGCTGCGTTGGAGAGAAAAGACTGGAATCATTATGTTTGGCACGAGTCAGAAGAAGAGCACAGACAGGATGAGAGAAAGGACTGACTTTTGAAGAGTAAGAACAAATCACTGTTTAAGAGGCCATATTATGCTCATTTTCAAGATTATACATGTGTTTGGGGGGTATCCTATAATAGGTTTACATGCTTCAGTGTTAAAAAAACACAATATTTTTATCATACTGACCACTGACACACTCAAGAAGCCTAGTCTCCTCTGATTGGTACAGACCACCGTGTAGATTCACTAGGTTTCAGTGGGTGAGACTGGTCTCCAAGCCTATGGTGGTGTTACAATGTGATGTAAGGGAGTAACGGTATTAAAGACTGAATAGAAATGTGGTGTGTCAGGCAGTGCAGGTGTGGTCAGACCTTTTACCTGCACACAAAATTCTATATAACCCCAAAAAGCACAAATGGCCTCTTCAACTAAAATTGTATGTGTCAATAATGCGGTTGAGCTCTTAAAGGAGTTCTTTCTTTCTTTCCAAAAGTCTCTCATGTTAGCGTGTAAAGGCCATGATACTGGCAGTTTATTTGGGAACATTACCCACCATAATAATTAGCATTTTATCATAAAGCACACTTAAAAAAGTGCACACTGTACACATTAAGAATTCATATTCATATTCTTTGTAATACACATTGTCTTTGGTTCCAATGTATCCTCATCATACTTTTGTCACGTTCCCCTTTAACAAACTGCTTGTGTGTCATGACCATGTGAAGCTTCTGGTTGAGGCGTTGTATGTGGTGTCTGGATATCTGTGTCTGTTCCTGTGAAAGAGGTTTGGTTATTGTTTGTTTTGGTGGTCCAGTCAAACAGTACCTGAGTCTGAATGCGGTTGAGGCCTCTGAACCAGAGGATCTGTCCGCGTCGCAGCTCTCTCTCAGCGCAGTCGATCTCCTCCTCATCCTCTGCCATCTCCTCGCCTTCCTCCTCCCCGGGCTCCAGGCCTAGCCCCGCCTCCTTCAGGCAAGGCAGCCGCTCAGTCGGCACCGTGGCGATCACCTGGAGGCCAGGTTTGTCACATTGTCATTTGAGCAGAAGACGCTAGTATGGCATTGTATGTACTGAGCAGCTGTGAGCTTTTTCAGCCATTTTACTCACAGGATGGTTTGGATGATACCAGAATATGTCAATTTCAGCACAGAATAGAATAGATCAGAAGTGTTATTTAAGTCAATGTGAAAATGTTTCCTTAGCCTCACCTCAGAGAAAACTCTAGGTAAACCAGGCCTGCCAGCCTACAGTTGCTCAGTGTGGTTTGACTCAGCAGGCTGCAGAGCTGCTTACCTGCCCCCAGAGCAGCTCTCCAACTCCCACGAACAGACACCAGAGCCACTGCTCCACGTTGAGAGGGGCACAGCTGAAGGGCTTCCCTCCCCACTGCACAATCACGATCTGCAGCAGAAACACAGGGAAGGACGTCATTGTTGCCACACAGGCAAACAGTGTCAAGGGAGAAACAGTCACTGCACTATCAATCTGCTGCACGAGCCACAGTCTGCACTGTAAGAAAAATGCAGTAACACTGGGATGTGTCAACAGTCAACACCTCTATCTTCTAGTTTGTCACGATTTCCAGTATGAAATACAAGGTGGCATTATCACTGTAATCCCTACTGCATGTAATAAAGATCAAACCAGGATGTGTAAAAACACATGCAGACATTTATGTCTGAGTTTTGTATCTAGTTATTCATCATTTCCCTTGCTAAGTCTCGCCTCTTTTTGCTCTGTGATGGTTAAAATATAAACGTGACATATATACTAGTTAACTAGTTAGCTAATCTATCAGTCGTTAGCTAGCTAGTTAGCTGTGACTATATATATGTCGCGTTTATCTTTTAACCATCTCGAAATGTGGTTTTCTTTTTTCAATATAGAGAGCCTAGCACATCGCATATCTAAGTACAGGAAAGGAGAAAGTTAATCGAGGTTCTCACAGAGGCTTGCTCCACTGTTTATGGAGCACAGAGCAAAAAGCAAAAAGCCCTAATCCTATGTCCTGCCCCTTTTTGAAGACTGTTCAAATATAAAAGCAACATATAGTCACATGCTAAGTTAGCTAATGTTAGCAAAAATTATTTTGCTTACATTTAGTTGGTAACCAGCTATCAAACGACCAATCTTCTTATCTAACTCCTTGCAAGAAAGCAAAACTTATTTCCCCAAATGTTGAACTACTTCTTGAAATAATTTGGAAGCTGCAACCAAATTTGAACACTTATGAACATTTATGCATGACACCAAAAATTCTGACCCTTTTAAGACCAAAATTTTACTCTGTGCAGCTTTATACATAGCCTACTGGTCCAGAGAACATAATGTATAATGTACATAATGTAAGCACGGTTTATAATCTTAGCTGAGAACACATGGCCTCAGCTACATTAATCATAGCAATTCCCCCTCCAGCTTATGTCACTGTGTAAAAAAAGCATAAGAACAAAAAACATAATAAACGCAGCCATGTGGCTTTAAACTTGGACCACAGTAACACTACGCTCCGATAGTGGATGTAGCAGCATTTTATATAGCAACATGATCATTTACACCAGGAACAAGGCTTATCAGAGTGACACTATCATCTTGACACCAAACTGCTCTGTCATTAATCTCACTGGGAGTATGTACAGTGTATCACATACTGTAATCATATCTTTCTGCAGGGAGGAGGGATCCATCTTTCCTTCTTATTCCTCTCTTTCACCTCTCTCAAGCTGTCTCCAGCCTTCAGCTCTCTCTCATCTCTTCTTTTCCTAATCCCTTTGAACTGTCTCTTTGTCGTTCTCACACTCCAAATCACTGCCATCTCCCTCCAGCTCTGTCTCTTCTCTTGTTTCTCCCCAGAGTACCACCAAGAACTGAAGAGCTTTGGAAAATATCCCTTTCCTTTTCTCGCTGTCTCTCAGTCTGCCTTTGTTTGCCCTCCTGCATTTTTTCGTGTACTCACAATTCCCGACTCAGTGCATTTCTTCCATATTCACTGTGAGCGGATTCAATAAACAGTCCTCCTGTGGTCGCTAAAGTTTGGAATCTTAAATTTGGATGTCTGTCAATGCCTGAAGATGATCATATTAATTTTTGTTTTTTACAAACTATCATCAACATCTGTAGAAGACATTCAAGCTTTGACTACCTTTGACCTTCACTACCCAACCACACTGACATTTTAAAATGAGTAAAGTTTGTATACCATGGAGATATTCCGTTTGAATAAAGAGCAGTTCAGGGGTATGCATTGACATAATTCTTTTCAGTCAGCCACCTGAATCTAAACAACATAAAAACACCATAAACATTACACATACCAAGAGCTATTTTGTTGCTCCTAAAAGTCATCACCTAAATAAAATCTGTTCGGTTCTGAGCCATGTCCCTAGTGCCAAGGCCCCGGCCCCTTTTGGGGACAAGTATAGTGCTTTCACATACTGTACGTTAACATGAGAACCTGCAGTAAAAATAACAACAACCGTACTTACAACCAAAGCTTTCACTGTGTGATTTAGTTAAAGTTAGCTTGAGAGTTGTTAACAGCTAAGAGTAACATAGCAGCAGTAGCAAGCTAAACATCCTACTGAATCTCAGCCCAGGTCATACGGTTGGTTATTGACAGACAGCACTTACCCTAACGCTACCTGCTGATTCAAGAATGTATAAATGCCTTGGTGCCCAGTTAGCTCAGTTAGTAGAGCTGGCGACCCATATACGGAGTTGCTGCAGCGGCCCGGGTTTGAATCATTTGCTGCGTGTCATTCCCACCTTTCCTGTCTATCTTTGTCTGTCCCTATCTAATAAAGGCATGAAAAGGCCAAGAAAAATAACTTTAAAAAAAAATAAAAATGTATCAATGTCTGGCCACTGTGTTGGACTGGGGAAGAGTAAAGGAGGATCTTTTTTTACTAAGATATCACAAATGCTCAGGTTGAGGCAAGGTGTATTTAGATGTCTCCAGAAAACAAAGATTATTTAATATGAAAGGAAGGTGTACGAATTTGTCATAACTCTAATCCAAAAACACATCAAATTGTCTCTATCCCTCAAAAGGGGGTGCGGCCATGATATTTTGCGAAGTACCCTTATGTGATGTCTGATGTATACTTAAACTGAGTGCTAGACATGCAGGGTGGGTAAAAAAATGTTCCAATACAATTACTAATTACCTGTTAAAAAATTTAGTCAGTAACCTAATCCAAGTATCATAATATTAAAGTAATCTAACTTCATTATTTTCTGTTTTAAGATGACGCCTATTCTATAAAATAACTGAACAATGTAACTGTAGAAAAGAAAACTGGAACTAAATTTTTAGTATCAACAATGTGTACTCTGCTCAGTGTAATGTCATGAAGCAAGTTCAGGAAGTAACCTTTCAAAACCTAATTTTCACAGCTGGAAGGCAGAACTTGTGCTGTACTGTGATGTTTTTTCCCTTTTCGTTTTAAAGTCAAAATAATGGATATATGAAGAATGAATTGACAGCTTTAAGTTTAGCTGTGGATTCACTGGAGACCAGAGTAGTGTTTTAAACCTGTAATTCTGCTAATAATCCCCATTTTTACTAATTGTAACTGTCTGATTACGTCTTTTTATATGTAACACTAATGGATTTTGATTATGGAACTTGTAACATGTAATCTGTTACTTCCCAAGCCTGTAGACATGCTGAATCGGGTTTAGTTCAGTACAACTAATTTACACCAAAATACTGCAATGTCTCTGGTTGGTTTGCTACTACCGCTATGGAATAAAAGCCATGCCAAACAAACAATCCAAATCAGGCATCACAGGGGTTAACCTTACCTGCACGGCAAAGGTCCCCACAACGATGGAGCAGAAGATGGGGTTGGAAAATATTCCGTCAAATACGTTTCTCTCTCCGTGGATCTTGCGAGCGTTGATCTCGTTGAAAAGCTGCATGAGGACAAAGGTGTTGAAGATGATGGTGTAGTGCTCGGAGGGTGGGGAGTGGAGCGGAGCGTTGCGGCCGCTGTCAATGTTAAAAATGCGCTCGCCTGGAGGGGAAACAAAGGAGGAAGAAGAGTAGATGAGAGGTGTGAAAAAAAGGAAAAATGATCTGCCGCGTTGCTCATTATCTGGTTGAAATTCCAGACTAAATGTATTGATTAAAGCCAACTATTTCAGGCTGTTTCAATAGTAGATGAAATTGCGTGCTCGGTTGTCAGTGTGTGTGTGTGTGTGTGTGTGTGTGCACCTATGAACAGCAGGGTAAAGATGATGACCAGCTGGTAGACTCCATGGCCCAGGATGTTCTTCATCATGGTCAGTGAGATGAGCGGGTTGTTCCGGCCATAGGGTTTCCTTAGCAACAGGGCCTCGGTGGGGGGCTCGGTGGCCAGGGCCAGAGAAGCAAACGTGTCCATGATCAGATTCACCCACAGCATCTGCACCGCCTTCAGAGGAGAGTCCTGCACACAGATTTGCAAGCAGAGGCCTGTGTCACGAACCATGTTTGGATGAGTCTGGCTTCACTGACCCAGACACAGACCGTGAAAAGACTACTTTCGTCCCCTTTCACATCGCCCAGAATCCCAACATTAACACTTGTTTTTGTATTTTGGGGTTTTATTTCTGTTGCACAGGGTTCTGATCTTCCTAGTTGTTCTTTTGCGCAGACTATCTGCTCAATCAGTGACATTCAAAACCACTAAGCAGTGAGGAAATTTCCACTGCCAAGTCAGTAGTATAAGATTGGAAAATGGGAAAAAACACCCCTTATTCGGACGTAGCAGTGATATTCCAAGGTGGTTAGCCCTAATGCTAACCCCATTCACAGCAGATAAACAGCCTAAATTCACTATTTTTTATCGTGTTATGGGTCTGTAGCAGTTCATAGTTGTAGATTTGATTTTGATGATTTTGAGGCTGAGGCAGTTTCTCCTACTCTGCTGCTTGTAATTATGGTTTAAGGTGAGACACTACAGGCAAAAACATTGTTTTTCATAAATTGGTCAATTTTGAGATTTTGGCCAAATTTTCCTTCTTAATATGTCTTCTTGCAGACTAGCGGAGAGAAAACACCCAAAATACACATTTAGCCGTTTATTTCAATATCATCCAACTGCAGCCACAAATGGGTGTTCTCGTGCTGGTGGGGGTTCCTGTTTTCGCTGACTAGAACGCCCCCTTCTTCTTCGCCTTTCTTGGTGAACTCTAACTGTCAACATCCGG